CCATGGAGCTATTGTTACAGGTATTCTGATTGTTTTATTTTCTTTACAAAAAAATCTGAAATTCAGTAGACTCTCCCGTATTTCAGATGCTGCTTTTTAAATTCTTTTCAGTATCATTGAATCTAGAATCACATAATTGTTACTGTGTTGATTAATGCTCTCTCCGTTAATCAATTCTACTTAACCTTCAACTGCTTTTGAAAACCTGATTGCAAATAAAACTGTGTTCTACCAGTTATTACTGTAACTGCATTGTTTCAGAACATTACAATGAGCTTTTGAAATCATGAGACAACCATTGAACAGCAAACAAACTGCAGCTGAGATTTTTAATGTATACGTATTCTTGTTTCTTCAGTCACAAAATCAAAATGTCCCTCTTACGTTGGGATAAAAGGAATCATTCTACAGGAGTTTAAACATATCTTCAAAATTATCACTAAGGAGGACAAATTAAAAGGTATACTAGATTTTTTTTCAGTGCTTCTTACAATTTGAATAACCAAAGTTTCTTAAATTCACACTGCTTCTGAGCAAATGTGCTTTGTTCCGTATTGGTCCTTTTGAGTTCTTTGCATAGTAGCAGAAGTCAATGTTTTTACCAATGGTGTAAAAGCCAAAAGTATTTCAGAAGTGAGCAAGAGAAAACATTTCCAGTGAACCTAATGCGCCTGTGGTGTATTCATCTGATTTACTTTTCATGTTCTCTGCAACACTTACTGCACACTTGTAAAAGAGGACTAACTTTTAGTAACTTGCTGTTTAAGATAGAGGTTTGGGTTACGTTTTTTCTCTTAATAAAGCATAAACGTGAAATGTGGCAAACCTGAAGCCTATGTGTGAATAATATCCTGTGGTATATCAATATCTGTTTTGAACAGGGATTATAGTCCTTTTTCATTAATTTCTTTCCTTTTGCATTTTCAGTTGTTCCCAAACTTAACAATGTATTTAGCTTGGAGATTGATGGCTTCATTTCCTATATCTACGGAAGCAAGTTCCAGCTCAGAGCAAGTGAGCGATCTGCAAAGAAGTTCAAGCTAAAAGGAACTATTGACCTATGATTTCACAGCAAAACAGAAGTATGTTTAATAAAAATGCCTACTGTTTTCCTGCAGTTTGAGAATCAGGTTTTCTGGCAAACTAAAATTGGAGTTAACTGTTTGAAGGCTTTCTAGAGCATTTCTTCATACTGAAGACTAGCTTCCATTGCCTTGAAAGCAGTCGGTAAGGCTGTTGGAGTTTAGTTGTGTTATTTGTATGTAAGTATGTAACATTCTGCCTTTTATTAAAACTACTTAGTACTGATTCCCTGGCTTCTGTTTCAGTTTATTAATAATATATTTGCAATGAAGATTTTATCTTTGAACTTTGTGATAAATGTTGCTGTTGCCTTCTGTATAAACTGGGCAACATCTGCCTATTTTCTCCATATAAGGAGACTGAAGCTGAGGAAAATTGCTTTTCTATAATCATTGCTCCTGGGTGAACATCAACATCTTTGCCTGGTACAAGTATATGCAGGTAAGTTGGTTCAACTGATAGGTTTTACCTTGAATATCTCTGTTCAAGTGGTTAATGTTGTTGTAAGTAAGTGATACATAAGTGAAATATCTAAGCATACAGACTGGCTATAGCAGTTAGTCTAGCTTTCATAATGAAATTTCCAAGTTGCATTTAGCCAAAACCAAGTACTAAACAGATAAGTAGTTCATGGTCCATACATGCTATTCTGAAAAAACTTTTAAAGTAAGCATTAGGGGGAAAAATGTCTTCTGCATGTCAGCAGCAAAGGTATTTTGTACTGCAAAAGGAATCTTTTCCTGACAGCGCAATGCAGAATTCATTTTAAGAGGATCAAGAAAGGTTTCTGGATTGTTTTCTGCAGCTAAACCCTATGAGATGCTTCAGTATTTAACTTTCAAGGACTGATAAATACCAAGGTAGTAAAATTACTCATTAGTCTAGAATTATTAGTGCTATTTTAAGAGTTCTGTTTTCTAAATGGAGGAATATAAGTATTAAAGTTGTCTTTTGAGCTTACATGGTAATTCAGAATTTCAAAACAATCATCTGGATTCTGGTCCATGACGTGTTTAAAATTAACAGGCTCTTAGTTGAGCATTACCAGAAAAGCAAGTTATCAGACTTAAACTAAGTAATTCTGTATTCCGGGTACTGAGAACTACATGGTACTTAAGTTAAATCCAAGTTATTAGAAAAGAAATGAAGTATCCTCAACCCCTTTATCTCCTTTTTTCACACCCTGTTTTTACTCAGTACTTCCCAGGATCCTTCTTGGAATCCCAGATGATTGTTTTGAAATGCAATTCAGTCCCTCCAAATCAGATCTGTTAGTCAGTTTTGACTTGTCTGGGAGGTGGAAACAATCCCTGTATTGGGATCACTTTTTTTTTTTTTGAAAAAAAAAAGCATCTGATATTTGCACTAAAAGCTTTCAGATTTTTTAGTCTCATTTGTGAATTCATTTTTTTATTGAGAACTTTTCCCTGCCACCATTCCAGTGTTTGTAGCCAACTAGGAAAACTTCTTAAAGTACTTTCCTTAAAAAAGAGCTGTTCTCTCACATACATTGCACAGGGAAGCTTGGTACCAGTGTTCGGAGCATAGCTCAAGCAGAGAGGTAGTGCTCTTATAGCAGCACTGTAATAATGCACAAGCCATTTAGCATACCCATGAGAACACTGACCAAGCCAGTCAGCATTCTGGGTTACAGGAGTTGCATCTCCCAGGGAGGATTGCTCAGACAGATCAGCCGCAGCATCACTGACCCAGATTCTGATCACTTTGCGTAACAGCATAGGCAATATCTGTTTACAAACAGAACACAATCCTCTATCCCCTCTGAATTCAGGACTTTAACCCCTTTGAAGTAGGTTGGAATGGAAATAAAACATTTATTGACTGAAAAAATAAGTCATTTCACACTGAAGGAAAAGTAGGTGAGAGGCTGAAAAAGCTTCTGAAAAGACAGGTAACATTCAAAAGTGACAAAGGCTAGAAGATTTTTACAATTAACAACTGTGAAGCAAAATCAAGGTGTCTTGAAGTTGTTAGTGTATAAAAGGTAGAGTAGTATCTTGGGTTTAAGCTCACTGAAATCCATTAGTTTCCCATGAGAATCCAGAAGGAAAAATAAAGTGCTAAGAAGCATAAATCATAGTAGAAACTTCCTTTGCAGGACAATGACCTAGTTTTAATTTTGCTTACAGCTATCAGTGTAACATCCAATTAAGACATCTGTTAAGTGCCTATAATATTAAATTAATAGGGGGAAACTAATAGAATTTTATTGGCATAGTCCTGTTAATTAACAGGAAAGACCATTAATGGATGTCTTAAATAGACATAATTAATAGCAGTGCCATACAAACCGGAATTTGCAGCACAATGAAACATCGTGCCTAAGGACATACCATGTTCTGCCATATGGACACGCAGATAAATAGGATACAGCTTCCCCTAGCTACTACCATCGGCATTTGTTAAACTACTTCAGTGACCAGAAGACAAATGCTGCTTAGCGGTCCCTTTTGATAAATAACAGCCAGGTATTCATTATTTACAGTGAAGGGTACTGAAGAGATGTTCAAAGGTCTCCTCAAGGTAATCGCGCGCTCGTAGCACATAAAAACAGGTGACAAATGAAGACTAACAAGAGATGTGAACAGCCAAAGCATTCAAGACACCTTTACTGCAGTTGGTAAATCACCTGAAGAGGCCTTCCTCTAATGACTCAGTGAGGTGTTCTGAACAGCCCCCACAAATCACTTACTTAAGCTAAACCTCTCCTGTACACCACTGGTATTGCTGTCTACCCACAGGCTGCTCAAACCAAACTTGTGTCTGCTGCCTGTGTTCATACCTCACTAGAATGCAATAAACTCCCCGTTGCTTGTGAAGGACCTTTCTTGGAAACTGCGTAACACAAAAATGACTGCTCGCCATTCTTCCCCTGCTGATTCACAACCATTCCCACATCTCTTCATTAGCTGAGACAGTAAATACTTAATGGATTTAATACTAGCAAATTGGGGAACTAATCACAGCTGTCTCTAACATACCCCTTCCTACACTGAACTCGGAATTGCATACAGCAGGGACACATCTTTCTTAATGATTTTTGTACCCAGACTCTCCAAAGAAAAAGCTAATTGGGGAATAATCAACAACAATGAACAATATACTGTCAAACTACCTTACTCACGTTTCTGCTTTCCTATCACTACTGCATGTATATAATAAAAATGCATTCATACAACTGTTTCAGTTCAGATTACATCACTGGTTGTGGTATAAAACTAGGTTAATCTATCCAGTAATTGCATTTTGAACATTTAAACAGGAAAGGGGAAAACAAAGAAACCCAAGCTCTGTTTCAAACCCCAAAATAACTCACTGTAGGAAATACTTGAAGTTAAATCACATCCAAGAAAACACCTAGAATTTGCTATCTGAAGTGTTTTTATACTTCCTTTCACATATTTTATACTTTCTTATTTCACATAACCAAATTCACATTTTTCCATACCTCCTTTCACACCTTTTAAAACTCCCTTAAAAAGCAGCTATGACCCACTGTGCTGTGAGAGCCATTCACCTAAAACAACTGCTTGCTCCTCTGCATCAGCAGCATATTTTCAGAAAGCAGGCACAGTGTCTTCTCAAAATCAGCAGTGGCACTGCTTTTACCTGAACAGGCCAATTCCTCAGCCCATTACCAGTTACACACATCCATTCCCCATCTACAACTCTAAAGACACAGAGACAGGTTTTCTAACTACCAAAAACTTTCAGCTACCTTATTATTCCTGCTGCAGTTGCTCACACTTCCACCCTGAAGACTGCTGGATGGCTAATTCCTAGCAGCTGCTATTTGTACCCCCTCCCTCAACCCACATGAACATTTCTGAAATTAAGCTCTCACTGCTTCTGCAATGATCTTACCATAGGCAATGCAAGTACAAGGTTTCACCTACCCATGAATTCTCCTTTTTGGTACCAATCTTCCTACAGCCTTCTTCAGCCCATCCTTCAGGAGAGATCCTCAGCAGTACCAGCACAAAATGAGGGTCCCAACAGCCAGGAACAGTTGTATGTGGCCAGCCTTCTGCAACATCACAGCTGAAGCACATGTCCAGCAATTGGTCTCCTTGGCAACAAACTCCAAACAAGGTCTCTTGATACAGAAAACACCTGAGTACTTTGAATGACTCACCTCCATTAGCTGTTCCTCTTGTCCCAGCTCTATTGCTTCTTGCACCCAAAGTCAGCACGGGGGCCCTTGGTGAGTACAGTACGTTAACTGACCAATATAACAAACACCCACCTTCATACATCTTAAACAGAAAGAAAAATTGGATTTACAAAGCTTTTTGTACATCAGCATTCACCAGACCATGCTCCTGTGTAGCAGATTAAGAAGTATGTGTCCAGGTTACGTGGCAACAACGACCAGCCCCATGTAATTTCAGAGGTTTGACCCACCTTTGCCTCACATTCCCCTTTGTTAATTCTGTCATATCTATTCTGAACTATATCTCCCACAGTGTTTGATGAATATGTATTGTTTTGGTAAGACAGACATCTCTCTCGGTGTACTGGTTTAATTAAATTAACTAGCAAATGTGAAAGATACAGGATCACACATCCACTGCCGCTGAGAGGAGCATTTGCATCTGGCAAATACAAACCCCCTGGGCTGCGGCACCAAGGGAACCTAGTGCTCTACCTGCAGGTGGTTTCTGACACCTAGCTCTCTACAGTCTGCATGTAGATGGGGATTGTGGAAAACTAGAGAGGTCCCAGCAACATTTAACACCAAATTATGAGCTATCCCTCCTAAAAGGCTCTGTTACTCACTACTATATCAGTCAGATGAGGTACAGCACCTTATAATCATTAAGTAGATAAAAAAATCCAGTATGCAATTGACCAAAGTAACATGACTGACAGTTTTGAACTGGGTTGCTGAATGAAAAATCACAACCTAAGACAACAATTTAATATTTTTTTTCATTCAATTTGGAGCTATTCCCGTAGGGCCTAACTCTTGCCCAGAAAAACTGCTTTAAAACATGCTATTTGTCATTTCAGATACTGCCTGTTCTCCTCATAACCATCACCTTCTATAGGCAGCTGAACAGCATGTTAAAAGATTTGCAGTACAGGCCTATTAATACAAAGCTCTTCCTGGCATATTAGTTAATAAATTCAGCCTCGTTCCTCTCAGCTCTCAGAATGAGCTCCTGGCTTTACGATGTGTGCAAACTTTTGACTGTGACTCACATCTTAAAATATGTGAAAATATATAATAATAGTACAGTTAGAATATCTGTTATAATAGTTCCTGGGAAGTATGATATTACCAGAAATGCCAAAGGAGTTTGCTTTCATCTCACAAATTTTAAAACAACCAACAAAATTGAATGCAAATGCTGAAGACCTCACATGCTTGTTAAAGGCAGAAGTTGAAAAACAAAACCACCAGCAGGATGGCTCCCATTTGTCTGTGAGTCAGCTTCTCAGCTGAGCAATCCAGGCAAGGGCCCCAGGCTTGTAACAGTGTTTAAGGAAACTTGCTCATTGTTTACATGCCTCCAGCTGTCAGGGAAGACCTCTGAATACAAGCTCCTTGACCAGCTTCTAGTGTACACACAGTATCAGCCCCAAAACTGATACCACTTAATAGCTTTGTTATTTTGGGGGGCAGAGAAAAATAGGATTGCACACCTCCTGCAAATGTTAAAATAACCCCATAAATCCAAATGATTTTTTTTGTGTGAAATTGTCTGCAACGCTCTGCCATGCATATTCTTCCTCTAAAGGATTATTTCAAAATTATGGACTTAGAAATGTTCAGTTGGATAGTTCTTGGGTGGCTGAGGTGCTCACTGAAGAATTTAAATGATGTAATAGCTATTGAACACCCCATTATATGGCTGCCTAATTAATGTAAATGATAGTTATGTCTCACTCACAGAGGATTATTTTACACGAAGGAAAATCTACTCGCTGCCACAGTAGCCATTTCAATAGTTTTTATAGGAGCAGTTGCATTATGACTTCATTGAGTAAAACGTAAGTAGCTATCCTAAATAATGAAGATTGAAGGTTTAATAGTACCAATAAAGAATTCTGCAGGTTTTTTATTTCAAAAATTAGAGTTTGATAGCAACCGTATGATAATGAGAGAAAAAAGAGCACTGGCACATGGACTCTTTCTGCAGCCTGGGCTCCTTGGGAGCTTCCATTTCTTCTGCATATAAATGCAGAAGAATAAGGAGATACAAAAAGGAAAATAAGCTCTTCTTTACTTTCATGACACTGTGTCCAATCTCCATGCCCCCTCCCTGCAGCAACATTTCAGTGGATAAAGGATTTGTTGGATTGTGCTTGTTATACTTAAAGGCTAACATTACGGGAACAGCTGTGTACAGCTGATCACATACCTACAAATACCTTCAAACAATGTGAAGTGCTCAGCTTAGGCCCATTTGAGTGGTGTTATGCAGACATAAACCAGCCCTGCAGATTTGTCTCAGAATTGTAACCCATTGGAGCATCTCCTTTTTTGTGAGGTAACAGTCAAGGGACTCGCCCTTTCTGTCATGAGACCCTATTTCCAAGGTTATATGTCACTGATGATAACAGTTACAAAAATTCAAATGAGATTTCAAATTTGGCATGAATGTTCTCACTTGGGATCTAGTATTTTTTAAGCAAATCTTCGCAAGAAAACCTAAAAGTTTACTTGTTCTGTTTGTTATTTTTGGTCTATGTTGCTTCATAGTTCTCAATCCAGACCTTTACACACTCCCCATCACAGTACCCAAGTAATCTCTTCCCACAGCTGCATTTTCAGAATAGTAGTTCTGAGCTAGGACAATTGATTTGACATTTGTTTCTCCAAACAGGAAGCTTCCACAAAGGCTTTTACACAACTTCTGTTCCAAGGCAGCCACCTTTTTTTTTTTCTTTTTTTTTTTTCCCCAACCATAAAGCACAACATGTGTTTAAGGAAGTAAAAAGTGGCAACAACATTAACCTGAATTATGGTAACAGTGACTACAAAACAAGCCGGCTGGGGATTTGCAAACACAATCTCCAGATGTCTACAAAAGATCTGATTTCTCCAACATACTCCAGGCAGGATTTGTTGTGGTTTTGAACTTTCTAATAAAAGATGCTTGTAGTATTTATCTACTGTTAGTTTCAGCAAAAGGTGCTGCCCTTACACTATCTTTCAAAAAGGTGAGTGGATCCCTTTAGAATAATCCCCAGGATATGGAGAGAACCACAAACCCCAGAATTCAAAAGTTGGAACCACCAGTGAAATGAAACAGGATGAATCTGAAAGTTAAAAGTGTATGTGTTGGGGGGGAATTGTAGGAACTGGAGACAGCTTCAAGAAGAAACCTCAGGAACCACATGCTTCCCTCTGCATGGCACCTGGTACTGCTTAAAAGTATGACACTAAACAGTAAAGATTAGATCTACCTCTCATTTTGATCCTCCACCTCTCTGTTGAGGCCATTACGAGAAACCCTGGCTAGTTCTCACTTTGGTGATGTTTGTTTTTTTTTTGAAATGATTGCCTGCCATACAAGGACTGGACTGATGTGAACATGTTCTTTCCAAGCATGTCTTCAAACAGTTGTCCCCTCAGGGAAGTGCTGCATGCAAATAACTCACCGCTCATGTTAGCTGTAGAGTGGCACAGTAAGGGCAAGAAGTAGCAGAGCCATTAAATTTACATTCCCTCACCTGCATTCCCACAGTTCTACCATGCAGTAGTTTGGATTGCAAACCTACTCTTCATACAAAGATTATGAGGCCCCATATATCCTAGGCTCAATCTCCAAGAGAAAAAAAAAAAAAAAAAAAAAAAAGCAAAAGCACATAGGAATGGAAATGAAATAAGAAAAATACAAGACACGTATTTTTTTTATTTTGCATTCACATTGCATTACCTCCTATTTGCAATGACTTGTGAAAAACAGCTTTTGGACAGCACTGCACCAACATAATTTCCTTTGCTTCTACTTCAATTGAAAAAAAAAAAAAAGATATAAAGCTGGGTCAATTCTTTAGGATACTTTAGAAAACCTGAGGTTTTCTGTTTTCATGCAATGGCTTACTTCCATAGTTAACAGAGTTCTTAAGGTAAACAGATTGCATAATCAAGCTCAATTAAGCATGCACAATAAGCAATGTAACATTCACTGTTTGGTGAAGTGCTAAAACAGCTTTATTTTCTTTTGACTCCTGGCAGTCTATCTCAAAGAACTGTTCATCTCTCCTTCTCCCCAGCTAGCATTTTCAGGAAGAGGTATAATGAGTTCTAGCTATTTTGTCAAAGATATTTTGGGGGAGTGGGAAACAAAGTAAAACATCCTACAGCTGCAGGGCAGGGAACAGTTATCACCTACAGAGGCATCAAGCTTTGCTGGTATAGTCCACGCCCTGAGCAAACATCATTTTCATGCAGAACGGAGGTATCGTGCTCTGAAAGATGCCAATTTTGGGCTATGTGCTTATGAGGAAAAGAAAGCTTTCTTCCCAGGCAGCAGAATGGTTTGAACCTTCAAGAAAACTACATTAACATCTTGTGGCTCGGTTCTGACGCACAGGCATTCCATTTTTGTTCCATTTTTATTTTTGGTTTTGTTGTTTTCTGTTGCAGCTAGCATAAAAATAGAAATCCCACCTCTTTCTATGCTTAGTGCAATATGTTTTGCTTTGTTACCAGCAGATGGAGCCAGACGCTCACAGGTTTAAAGTGATTTTTTTTTTCGTCTGTTCTAACAGAAAAAAAACAGCCATGAAGCAGACAGTGCCTAGAAACTGCTCCCTTACCTTACGTGAACTTTCTTTTTTTTTGCCATGCCTATGTGTACAGCTAATCTGGTGCATGCCTTACCCTATGTCAGCTGCTTTTCTCTGGGGTTTCCATAAAAAGTGATTTTACTTTCTGCAAATATGCTTTCTAAATTATTTTTGGTGCCAAAATGAAATCAGGAAACAGAACTAAACTAAGACAGGCATTTCCAACTGCTAAAATATCATACCTTTCATTTCACTCACATGGGGATGTATTCTTAGAAGTCATACATTTCCCAGAACCATCAAAGTTAAGAATCTTCACACTACTTGCTGAAAGCCACGTAATTGTAGGATACAGAACAAACATCATACTACACCTAAAGCTTAAAATACACGTTCAGATGAGAAAATAGGCTAGGCCTGTACTTCAGCATTGCTGCTGTCACTCAGAGGAAGACCTGCAGCTGAGCAACATGCCTTTCCTCACCCCAGCAGCATGCAGCTGCCCAGCATGACCAG